GAGAAAAAGTTTATGAACTAAGATTGTAAGTGTAGTATTACCTTAAGAATTTCGTTATAACAACAGTGTCAAAGAATGGAGGATAAAGATTGGCTCACAACCCAATCTTATAAACTTTCTCTCATAATCCCGATATGACAGCTCACAATTAGATAGGTTGGATCAATTTGTAAACTGATTAATTATGAACTATTATATCAAGATTGTGAAGGAAAGCTTATGAGATTGAATTCTAAATGTAATATTATCCAAGAAAGATATTTGTTAATAAAAAAACAATAATAGTAATAGTTGAAAAGAACAGTACTTAAAAAATGAAGAAGAAGACAAAGAATCTTGTAGCTGGAGTCCGCTCTTCAATGACCTAAGAAACACGGTTAACAAAGTTATGGTTCGGTGCTACTGAGTACTGATCGAGTACCAACACACATGAGCAAATATGTCGGTTACAGCTACATCTCAAAGAGTGTTAGTGCCTTATCTATATCCTATGATAGGTGTAAAGAATAATTATCTACTCTTCTTTATAAACAAATCTCTTATCTTACCCTTAAAAATGGGACCAGAAGCAATCATCCCCATCACTGTTTCACCAACTTAAAGAGATAAGTGTATAGTGAAAAATGCTGCAATGAATCTTGTATCTATAAATTAATCTAATATTTAGATCTACATTTATGTAAGAGACAAGACCATGCCTAGGTGAGTTTGACTGTTGTTTCACTATATTTATATAAGTTGATTACTGCACTTCTATTTCAATCTCGTATCATGTGGAATGCCTGTACAACCAAAACTGGCAAGAACACATGAGGAAGCAACTGCCTGGACCTTTCACTTAATTGAGCGGAGTTAGATGAGGACAAAGCCTAAGACACCCTAAACTTCTTTAGCACTTTTGTCACGTAAGATCTTACAGTAAGACAGGTTCTGTCTTGTTGTATTATTGTTTCTAATCGAGGTAATTATAACTAAAAACAAGAGAAAAAATCAAATCGAGCTTCTACACTTCCAACTGAGTCTCCATAAATCGTCTCTTAGAACTTCCCACTCCACGCCAAAAACCTAGCATCGGAAACCACCATGGTCAAGGGAGGCCCATTTCCGGCCCACCCACTATCATTGTGAGAATCTTTTGATTGTTTGATTTCTCTTGGGGGAGAAAATTAATACAACTATTTTAATTTAAATTGCCTAATATTACTGGATTCCACCATTAATTGGAATCACTTTATGATAATTTATATCTTAGGATCTGAGTGGAGAGAGCCAATGCAAAATGCTCACGTGAGTTTAAACTATTCGAATTATTAGTCCTTTTTTTTTTTAACGACAAAATCGACATACGTATGCTGTGATTCACTGGTCCCACAATTGTGGCATTACTATACAGATACAAGTTCAACTACAGTTTCGGTGGTCCAAAAGTCCTCAAGCAGTCAACATCAATTAAAAAACTGTATATCTAAATGAAAATGAAAATTTTGAACTCACCTACTGTGGCCGACCGGAAAGTAGTCCATCCATCAACAACATTTCTACTCGCTTTCACTACTGTTTTGCCGATACCATCTCCAATAAACATCAACATTGTCTTCTTCCTCTCCACTTCCACGTTCTCAAAGTAGGCCCCAGCTTTTATATAGATCACAAACCTGCCAGAAATAAAATAATGTTTATCATATCAATGTTCGTGAATATTTAATACGCTTAATGAATACCTAGGTACCTGGTGGTGCTTGAGTTGGGAGCTGCAGCCACTGCATCACCAATGGTTGTATAATTTCCAGTGCCATCTTTAGCCACTATCAGATCATATTTGGTGCCATTCACTGTTGTCTGTAACAGTTTTCGATCTTTTGAGGACAACCAAGTTGGAAACCCTCTCTTCATTCGTCCATAACCCTGGAAAACCTCCGACTCTGACTTTAAGGACATGTTAAAACCAGGGACTTTCTTCAGCATGACCAAAGAGTTACTTATATGTCGGGAGATGTTGTACAAGTTGTTCTTGATTGCGTCTCTCACGTTTCCTATACTGTAAGCAAACCCATCAAGACACGTGTACTGGTTTGTCATTGCACCGCTAAACAAAGTTTGCATATCGTGGAAATGTTTGGAGGTCGTTTTTTTAGGGGATAGATCAAGGAGAGCTGATGTGAGCTCTGCAATGGTGTCATCAAAAAGTTCAAGACAATCAATAATAGCTCTATTTTCAAGTGCGTTAAGGTTTTTGTGCTTTTGTCTAATGCCAGTGCAGTTTGAGGAGGAGGCTCTAATCTCGTACAATGTGCGGTATATGGTGGCGGAGATGAGTTGATGGACAGATTTGGAGGCAAGATCCGGGAGCGAAGAGAGAGTTGAGACGCAGAGCTTTGGGTAGAGTGTGCCTTCACATGTGGAGTGAGCAATTTGGAGGTGTCTATGAACGTGCAAGCGTGGAGTTTCTGTGGTTTTGGTGGTCTTTTTGAGAGTTGCTATTGCAGAGAATAGGAGTAAGACAATGGTGGTAAAGGGTAAGAAAGTAAGCAAGAGTTTAGTTCTTCGCCTGGAACCATACATGTTGGTAGTCTCCGAAAAGAGGAAAATGAAGAAAAGAGTAATTAAGTAGTAGTTAAATAGAGCTGGTGAGGACTGTTGAGAGCAGTAATGAAAGGGGTGTTGTTTTTGGATCTCATCTCACAAGGACGGCATGATATAGGACTTTACTAGCGTTTATGGGCTGCGGGCCTGTGTGTACACGATCATATCAGAATCTTGGTTTGAAACTATAGAGGTTAATATTGACTATATAGATATTAACCTCTATAGTTATCAATATTAACCTCTATAGTTAGCTGTATATTTAATTAGTTAGCTGTATATTGAGTTTATGTAAATGAACTCTGTTGTCATTATATTAGTAAGTGTGTTCAGTAAATCATTAGTTTAAAAAAGTCAATATGCAATATTTTTAATAAATAGAAAGTTGAGGTGTAAAGGCTCTCTACAACCTTATTGTATATATATGAAACTTTCTCTCTCTTTTCTCTGTCTTCTCTATAGAATTTCTTTCTTTGTTCTTGTTTGTAAAATGGTATTAGAGCTTCGATCCAGACCCAATTTTTGTTTTTCTCTTTAGAATCAACATTCAGATCCAAGTGATCCTTTATTGATCGTTCCTTGAATCATTCCTTTCTTTTGAGAAGATTTCTTGAACTAATCTTGATCGAAGATGAATGAAGCTAAGGGTAACAGTGTTCGAGGAGTGATAATGGTGACAAACTATACCAATTCACTCTATTTGCATCCTTCCGACACTCCTGGTAGTTGAATTGTTGGACAAATTTTGACTGGAACAGACAATTATGGGCTTTGGAGTCGCACAATGCAAATTGCTCTTTTGGCCAAAAATAAGCTAGGTTTATCGATGGGTCCTTTATGCATCCTTCAGAAGCTATTCAAGCTTAGCAATGGGACCAATGTGATGCGACAATTAGGTCTTGGATTATGAACACCATTGCAACAAATTTAGTCGTTGGGGTCTGATGAACAATTTTACTTCCTCGCAAGTGCACGAATCGCTATCGCAGTATAGTGTGCAAAAGCAAGGGTCGATCCTATAGAGATTTGTAAGTTATCAAGTAATCCTAATAACTATGTCTTAATTAAACAAATAAATTCAAGCAAATTAAAGAACTAGTGAAAATTAAAGAACTAGTGATTAAAACTAAATGTAAAAAGAAAATAAAAATTAACACCAATAAAAACTAATTTAAGAACCAATAAACTACAACCTAGGTATCCAATTTCACCATAATAATCCAGTTTTATGCCAACTATCAAACTATTGTTATCACAATCCAATTTCTAGGGTTCGCACTCACAAAATCAAGGCATTACCGTAAGGCTTTCGGGATTAACCTAATATTTTTAATACAAGACTATCTAGGGCGTATAGTCTAGCCTGTGAATTAAAAACCCATTAAACATAGTAGTACTCGAAATCCTGAACAAAGGCGTATTTGTCATGGCGTGTGCACAAACACTAATTACCCAAGAAATCATGAACCTACTAATACTCTATCAGGGTGTATGCATAGAATATTAATCATTCATTCAATAATCGTCACACATACAACCTAATAATTTGCACTAAGTGTCGTCACACAATAATGGAAATTAAAGGAGTAATAAATACATGAATGAATCTAGAATTTCATTGAATTGACAACAATAAATATATGATTACACATAGAGCCATCAAATTAGGCTACATTGGATCTCTAGAGAAGAGTTTAGTTACACATTGACATTGAAAAGAGCAAACCCGAAATTCCCCAAAGCATGAATGATCTTCAAAACCCTAGGAAAATCTCTCTTTTTACTAAGAAAATAACTCTCCTCTCAATCTTCAGCTAACCCTAAACTAAATTACAAAGTCCTATTTATACTTTTCCTCTACTAAGGGTGTTTTTGGAAGAGTCCAAGTTCGAGTCAGAGTTAAAAAAAACTAAGGATTTTATTTTTCTCGCGATCCATGTCACGACGTGAATTTCTAGCATCGTGGCGCATAATTTTTCCACAAAAATACGGCCTTGTCACACCGCGGCATGAACTTTCTGCCCAACTTCAGCTTCTCGTGCCGCGAAGCGAAAAGTCCATGTTGTGGCGCGATCCAGCAAATTCACTTCCTTTCTTCTGTTTGACGATCCGTTTTTTTTCTTTAGCACATACAAAGCCTCCAACCATCGTGTGAGCATAAATTCCTCACTTTTTCTGCCTGAAAACTTGAAACTCATACACATACCCGTGATTCTTGCAAATAAAAACATGTAAAGAACTTGAATAAAAATAATCTATAAAAGTCACGAATTCCCTACAATCTTCCCCTCAAATCATGGAATATATATATCATTTCACTACTCATCAGGGTCATTTATGGAGAAAATGTAGCCACAGTTTGGAAAGATCTTCAAGAAACCTATAACAAGATAAATGGATCGTGAATCTACTCAATCATGAAGGAGATTGCTACAATCCAACAAGGTACATCCACGATTCCTACTTATCATACAAGACTGAAGATTCTTTGGGATGAATATGCTTCAATGCTTCTGCCTGCTAGCTATACTTGTCTTGTTTCTAAAGTCACCAAAGAGCATGAACAAACCCAAAAGGTTATGCAATTTCTTATGGGTTTAAATGAGAATTATTCGGCAGTCCAAAGTTCTATCTTGTTGATGAATCCATTACTGACAATTAATATGGCTTATTCAATGCTCAATCAAGAAGAGAAACAGCGAGAAATTACAAACACTATCAACAATCAACATGAAGTTTCAGCCTTTTTTACTCATAAGGCTCCAAATAACCAAACTCAAAGTACCAAACAAAAGAAATCTATGGAGTGTGAATACTGTCATTTGACAAATCATATTGTCAATTATTGTTGGAAGCTACATGGATACCCTAAAGGCCAACAAAGAAATAAGCCAAAGAAAGGATCTAATTACAAGACTTCCGTTCCCAATCATAGTGAATCTGATGTGCATGATAATCAGCAACAAAATTCTGCCTCTGTAAGCAAGCCTTCAAACATCTTTACTCCAACTCAGTACTAGTAAATACTCAAACTTCTTCGGAAAGAAGGTTCAAGCATCACCAACAATTTGACTCAAGAGAATCAGGAGATTACTCCAAATGTAGCAAGTAATATAATTTCTCTTCTTGGAACAATTTTAAATGATGAATGGATACTTGATACAGGAGCCAACGACCATATGACTTTTGTATTCCAAAGTTTGGAAAATGTTTCTCCATACAACTCTCTCAAAAAACCCAATGTTAATCTTCCAAATTGTATGACAACAGCAAACACTCATACTGGTGACATATCCCTTTCATCTAGAGTTAAACTAAAAAAAGTTCTTTTTGTTCCCAATTTTCATTATAACTTGTTGTCTGTATCTAAATTCTATAAGGACAATAATGTTACTGTCCTATTTTTTTCCTCATTTTTGCCTATTTCAGGACCTATGGACTAGATCGATGATAGCGATTGGTAAAGAGTATCATAGGCTATACTATTTGGTCAAAACACAGGATAATAATCTGTCTTACTCTGTTGTAGATAATAAATCAGATTGTTCATCAAGTCTGAATGCTTGTACTAGTGTTACTGATTCTGTTTGGCATCATAGATTAGGACATGCATCTTTTTCTACAATAAAGTTGATTTCATCTCTTAAGAACATTTATGTAAAGGAATCAACTCATCATTGTAAAATTTTTCCAATGGCTAAACAATGTAGGAAGTCTTTTTCAAACAGTATTTCTCATTCTGATAAAATCTTTGATCTTTTGCATATCGATATATGGGGTCCTTATAAGGAACCTATGTATGATGGTTTTAAGTTTTTCCTTACATTGGTGGATAATCATTCAAGGGCAACTTGGACATTTTTTTATGGTTACAAAATCTAATACTTTTCATGCTTTTAAAAAATTTATTGTGATGGTTCAAAATCAGTTTTCCATTACACCTAAGAAAATTAGGACAGATAATGGAATTGAATTCTTTAGCAAAGATTTTAATATTTTCTTAAGTTCTCTAGGCATTATTCATGAAAGTTCATGTCTTTATTCACCCCAACAAAATGGGGTTGTAGAAAGGAAACACAAACATGTATTAAATATTGCAAGAGCACTTAAATTTCAATCTCATGTACCTATTCATTTTTGGGGAGACTGTATTTTAACTACCACATGCATCCTTAATAGGGTTCCAACACCTCTTCTTCAAAATAAATCTCCATATGAAATGCTTTTTCATAAAACACCAGATTTGACAAACATGAGAGTGTTCGGATGCCTTTGTTATGCTATGATTTTGCCTAAATCAGATAAGTTTAGTCCAAGGGCTTTACCTTGCATCTTTTTGGGGTATCCTACTTTTCAAAAGGGATATAAATTGTTTGATATTACGAACAATAAGATTTTTGTCAGCAAAGATGTTGATTTTTTTGAACACATTTTTCCATATTCTGATTCCAAACTATATACATAGTATGCGGCTTTATTTCCTAGTGCAAAGACTATATTTGATTCATGCCCAATTTTGCGCACAATAATCCTTCATCTGAACCAGTACATAGTTCACCAACTTTTTCTTCCTCTTCAGGTAAAATTTCTTCTTCCTCTCCTAATTCTATTCCATCAACTGATATTATTTCTCAATCTATGCAACCTTTTCCAACTAGAAAATCCGCTAAACCCACTAGACCTCCTATATTGCACAAAGATTATGCTATAACCACAAATACCTAATGTGTAAAACCCCTCTCCAGTCAGGTACCCTCTGAATATCCCTTAATGAGAATCTAGAGAATTCATGTCTGGGGAATGAGTTGTATTTAGAAAACCTGTGCAAGGATTATGATAATGTCCAAAACATTACTATAAGATGTACCGCAGGATCAAAATTTGTACCTTCAAAAATAAAATAAAAATAAAAACTTGAATTCATTTGGGCATCAATCAATCAAAACATATTAATGCCATTTTCATTCAGATGGTGGAAGCTTTAAAAAGGTGTTTCAAAAACATTTGTCATTTACATTATTTACATCAAGATAAAACATCAGGATGACAATAAATTATCTCCCTTCACGCATAGCCTTGCTATCTCCAACATGCTTCGCTTCTGGATTACCTATAAAACATTCAACCATGAAAGGGTGAGCGCTAATAGCTCAATAAGAAATGATCCATTTAATATCAAATATGTTATTTGACATTCATTCACATACGACACCTCTTTTGCATCTATGTATGGTTCATTTTCTTTACTAACTCATATACTTTTCATCATCTTCCCCATGATCATATAAAATATCAAGTGTACACATACAAATAAGTATGTAAACATAGTGCACACACATCACATGTCATGACATAACATCTAAATATCATCTAACATAAGTACAAATCATCTCATGATGTAAATAACATTATAACTCATGTAATGCAACTAAATGCATATGAATCATTTAACGTCTAGCCTATTGGACTTTTTTAGAATCTTAAGCACTTCATATCGTCTAGCCTCAAATTCATCTAGAGCTCATATCATCAGGAGGCATGCTTATGCATTATTTAGCATCTAAAGCATATATTCATCTTTCCTTTCATCTAGCCTCAAATTCATCTAGAGCTCATATAATCGGGAGGCGTGCTTAAACGTTTTTTATCATCTAAAGCATATATTCATCTATCCTCAACCGGAATATGAGGATATGTTTACGCGTTAATTAGCATCTAAAGTATATGTTCATCTTTCCTCTCATCTAGCCTCAAATTCATCTACAGCTCATATCATTGAGAGGCGTGCTTACGCGTTATTTAGCATCTAAAGCATATATTCATTTTTCCTCAACGGTATACGAGGATATGTTTACGTGTTTTCCATCCTATCTATATGCATCTCTAACATTTTATGCCATGTAAATACATGTTTAAGTGAGCTTAATACTTTTGATTCATCTATAGATTATCAATCCATTTACATTACCTCTTGCTCACATTCATCATCTTGAAACATATATTACATTGCATCTTTATGCCATTTCATAACATTAATCATGCATTCGCATCCATGGCCATGTATATCTTTCAAAGATCATCTAACTAATGGGTAAACATTAGTACATGGCTTAATTACAACAATACATTAATAATCAATTAATAATCATAAGAATTGATCATGTTAAATCTTAAACTTTAATAACCAGAAGTTTATTCTTCAGGCCATTTTCCATCCATTTATCAAACGAATTGTCTCTTGGGATAAACATAAAATTATAGGCTATGTCTTAACTTTCTAATGCTTCAAGAATCATCTCATTTTGATTTTTATAAGTCAAGTTATGATCGAAATACTGAAGCATGTTTAACATAACCCCTAAAATTGCCAAATCCGAATTTTTCTTATTAAACCATGTCATATCAACTTCTATTGACAATTAAAAAATATGTCAACTTATGGATCAATTAAACCTCCCCTTAATAGTCTTTAACATCTTAAAGGAATAGTAAAACCTCACTCCCATGATCATCCATCATTGCTATAACATTGTAAGTTAATGCAAACAACACATCAACACTTCTAATAGCAACCATTCAACACCATGTAGCTTCCAATACTACAAGTTTTGCCACAATCAACATCAATACTTCATTTTCTTCAATTAAACATAACAACTCATGAAACATAAATGGCAATAACTTCATGTATAATGAATTCAAGGCAATAAATAACATTAATGGGTTCAACTACATGTGCCATCAACTAATTCTATGCCTTAAAGCCTTAATTTAAGGTTTCATTAAAATCTACAAACCCNAACAATACATTAATAATCAATTCATAATCATAAGAATTGATCATGTTAAATCTTAAACTTTAATAACCAGAAGTTTATTCTTCAGGCCATTTTCCATCCATTTATCAAACGAATTGGCTCTTGGAATAAACATAAAAGTTATAGGGCTATGTCTTAAATTTCTAATGCTTCAAGAGTCATCTCATTTCGATTTGTATAAGTCAAGTTATGGTCTAAATACTGAAGCATGTTTAACATAACCCCTAAAATTGCCAAATCCGAATTTTTCATATTAAACCATGCCATATCAACTTTTATTGACAATTAACAAATATGTCAACTTATGGATCAATTAAACCTCCCCTTAATAGTCTTTAACATCTTAAAGGAATGATAAAACCTCACTCCCATGATCATCCATCATTGCTATAACATTGTAAGTTAATGCAAACAACACATCAACACTTCTAATAGCAACCATTCAACACCATGTGGCCTCCAATACTACAAGTTTTGCCACAATCAACATCAATACTTCATTTTCTNTCTTTCCTCTTTATCAACTCACACAGAACCTCAAATATATCATCAAGCTGTCCAACACCAAGATTGGAGAGTTGCTATGGAAAATGAACTTCAAGCTTTGAAATCCAATAGAACTTGGGAATTGGTTCCGTTGCCACCAGGAAAGAAAGCAATAGGGTGCAAATGGGTTTACAAAATTAAATTCAAAGTTGATGGAACTATAGAAAGGTATAAGGCTCGGCTTGTAGCTAAGGGCTACACTCAACAGAAAGGTATAGATTATACTAAAACTTTTTCTCACGTTGATAAGATTGTTACTGTTATGACTGTTTTGGCTCTTGCTACTATGAATCATTGGCCTTTGTTCCAAATGGATGTGTTTAATGCATTTTTACAAGGAGATTTGCAAGAGGAAATTTATATGCGACTTCCACAAGGACTTGAACACACTGCTCAGCATAAGAATACAATTTGTAGATTGCTAAAATCCTTGTATGGATTGAAACAAGCATCAAGGCAATGACATCATAAGTTCACCAATGCTTTGCTTCATAATGGCTTTCAACAGTCCAAAAAAGACTATTCATTATTCACCAAGAAGAAAGGTTCCAGCTTTGTTATCTTACTACTATATGTGGATGATATCCTTCTAATGAGAAACAATATTGCAGCCATTGATGAAGTAAAAAGGTATCTCAATTTTAAATTCAAAATCA